ATGGTCCGCACACAAACACCACCAACACTCATACCCCACAGCATGGGCCGCACCTTCTACTGCTTACCATATAATGTAATATAGTATTATACACTATATCAAAACTATATGTGTAGTTGTGTGCGGTGCGCCATGCACAGTCTGCCTGCTATCGCCCGTCGCTTTGCCTGCCCTGGCCCCCGCGCTCATGCACGCCCTGTGCTGTCGTCTCCGCTCAGTCCGCTCGTGTGTGTGTTGATGTAAGCTTCTAGTGGTCGGTGTGGTCGGTTGTCGTAGTCTGCGTGTGTGTGGTGCCGTGTGTGATGGGTCGGCTGTTGTTGCAGTGCCTGTGTGCCCCCTAGTGGGCGGGCTGTAATGGTTACCGCGCCGGCGCACCAGCTAGATAGCGAGGTGCACGATATACAAATAAATCATACCATGCTATACCGGTGCTACGTAACGGTATCCTAACTAACACATTAATGCACTCCAAGCTGAGCGTCGCAAGCCTACTACAAATCACTATATATCCGACACAGTATACTATGATACATACCTACCTCGCCCAAGTAGTCCAGAATATATAAGTGAGTGTTGTCGACTCTGGCCGCTTAATACCTCAGTAGCATACCCCTATTCAAGATCTATACCTATACTTCACCGTTTTCCCTGACTACTCGTATTGAGTAATGGAGTATATGTGCTGCTTCATGTTTAGATTGAAAATTGTGTTTTGTGTGTGAAAGGAGGTATCTATGAAAGGAATCTGCCGGTGGCGCGTTTCATAAATGTTTCGCAGAAGCCTAACAGCACCCAACCAGGGCAAGCAGGAAAGGCTGAACCGGACCTGGTGCCAACGTGTTCGTCCACCACACCTCATGAAGTCACCTTCTGCCGCTTTGCTCACACCTGTGCGGCGGAGTCATGCAGCGCTTCGGGGTCTGGGGGGCGCTGCGGGAACGACCACCTCGGTCGCACTCCGATAGGTGGCTCCGCGGGATGTAGGCTCGCTGTGCTTTGTGTAGGTCCTAGTGTGTGTGTTGTGTGTGCCCTTCCCTCCCTGTTTGTGCGTAGTTTGCCCTCTTTGTGGTACCATCCTCTATACCTTATCTAATTACCATTATCTATCCCTGGTCAATTTCAATAAATTGCAAGATATATACCATATAACCCACCATACATATACCATATAAAAATATAATTCTGTGAACGCAATTATAATTACCTGCCTATATATATCATATGTCTTACTGTAAAACCAGGTCAAAATCCAGTAATTTAATTATTAATATATATATAT